AATTTTGACAACCACCCACATGTACTGTCGCAAGGATGAGGCTCAAAGCATGATTTCGCACCGCTGTAGAACTCGCAAGGAATCTGACAACCATAGACCGATCGAGAGAGCACATGGGAGTTTCCGACAATTAGGGTACCTTATTTTGGGGTCCTTACAATAAGGATCCTACTGTTTAGGGTACTATATTAGGGTCCGATATTCTCGGAAACCCCCACATGGCACAGACTTCTCTGCTGACTTGTGACATCTGACCGACTGAAGTTCCTCGTGTGGGTATAGACACAGCGGAACAGCTAAGGAATATTCAGGGAGGTCACACTGCTCGATTTTGACGCGGGGCAAGCTAGCATCTAGTCGCACAGGCTCAGGTTTAGGGTTCAGGGTTTAGGGTTTAGGGACTTGGAACACCTCAGCCGTTTATCTTTTGGAGTCTGGCCGTCCAGCTCTGGCATCGACCTGAGAGGATGTACTGCATGCATCTGACGCCCCAAATGATCCCTACCGGATCCGGGGTTTCAGCTGGTACCGTAATGTAGTGGCCTTAACTAATTAGAATGGGGTTCGGGGGTATATTATACTATAATTATAGTCTTATAGTATAAGGAAGCCCCAAAATAGTCTTGGTAATTATTGAGGCCCCTATATTAGTGCAGTAGGGTTGAGCGTTCGAGACTTCGGGTTTGTTTCAAGCCTCCCTGTTGACACTTCTTTGACTCTATTCTGCATCCGAGTGTTTTTTGTGGCAGAGTGCACCGGGATGGGTTTTTCGGATTTGGATCTTGGACGCAGATTCTGTTCGGGTTTGGGGTTGAGGGTGCACGGATTTTAATGATTCAAATTGACTCCGCGGCGCTCGAGAACTCTTGTCTTAGCCTTGATACGACTTAAGGCCGTGGGCGGGGGAGGCAGGATGACCTCTAACTGTAATCCCATAGGGGGTTTCCGAAAATGTGGGATCCTAAGATAGTACCCTAAGTAGTATAGAATCCTTACTATAAAGGACCCCAAAATAAGGTACCCCTTATTGTGGGAAACTCCCATAACACATACGCCCACGCCCTGAAAGCCCTGAACCCATCAGACACCCTCCCAGCATGATTTAGGGCACACCCCTTAACCGAGCCACCCCAAAATAACTGCCTAATATAGGAGCAACGATGATTACCTATACTATTCTGCAAGGTTATAAAAAATAAAGTATAATGGTCCCCAAAACCCTATTCTAAATATAAAGGCCCCTATAGATCAAGCTTCCGGGACAACGCTGGTGCGGCGTATGTTTGAAGTTGGAGCAAGTTTGTTGAGGCTTGTAGGGTTTAGGGTTCAGGGTTTGTTGGGCGCAAAAGGTTTCGGGAAAAAGGTCCGTGCGCAGCAACCTTTTCCAAATCGCCCGTCGTCATAATTGCTATCATCATTGTTATCATCCTCGCCATTATCATTGTCATTATCATCGTTATCATTCTCTTCATCACTATCAATATCAGCATAACCATCATCATTTTTCTTCATTATAGTCGATTATAATAGTTACCATCACCGTCATCAACATGTTGAGTGGTGTTTTTGCTTGGTCTTGTTTGTTTGGGGGGGTGGGCTGTGAGGTCAATTAACGGATGTTGGAAGGTCTGTGTAGGCCCAAAACCCAAACAGTATGGCTTTTTGTCGGTTCAAAAACCCAAGCTCCGAATGGGTTTGGGGACTTTACACCCTACGATGTGGGCAGTTTCGCCCTTACGGAGAGCTTTGAGGCCTTTAAGCCCCTAAGCCCTCAATCCTAATCCCTAACCCCCTAAGCCATAAACCCCCAGCCGTACAGAAGAAGCCAAGAAGTTGGAAACCCAATAGCCTCAATCCGCAAGAGCAATGTATACGGAATCACAGCACTAACTGCTCTTAATCCCCCCTTTCCAATCTACCCTCAACACTAAACCCTATAATCGAACCCTTATAGAACCTTCAAAGGAGCCCCTAGAACCCTAAAGTCCGAAGCCCTGAGATGAAAAAATGAGGCGCAAATGCTGCCTGGCAAAGACCAGGACCAGGTCTTCGACTCAGATCGTTTTAGGGGTTTAGGGGTTTAGG